GAGCATTCATCTGCGAGCTTCGCTGGATCTGCTACCGCTGTCATTTGGATTGCTATATGTGGCGGCTAAACTCGGGTTATGTGATGACCTGTGCTTCTCTCAAAAGCTTCTGACTTTGCTTCCAAACATCTGTGTATTAAAAAGTTGGGCTTCATTTCAAGACCACAGTAAATTATACAGGTACCAAAGAGCCTTAGAAAGTTTAGAGGGGAGAGAACTTATGAAAAGGCAGGAGGGGGAATGGTTGCACCATTTAAAGAATGTCATCAATGTCTCTCAACTGTGCGTGTACGAAGTGTTGAATTGGCATGTGTTTGGCTGTGTTGATTCTCAAATGACAATTTAAAAAGTGCTGATGGTGGAAACAAGCGTATGTTCCCAGGTGAGGAAGAGGTAGAGTTTCTGTAGGGCCTGTCTACACCTGGTATACCTGCAGAGAGCTACCTGGCTCTTCTGGTCCAAGGGACTGAGGCCTGGAGTTAGCTACGATGTGAAGGGAGGGTAGGAAGCTGTCTAAGTGAGAGAAGTTAGTTGGCTGTGAGTCCCTTACTTGACACATCAATCATGTTTGAGAGCACTGTAGTGCTCGCTCTAGAACCCAACTCCTTCAGTGGGAAGACGACGCTAACCACCTCTGGCACTGGTTCCTGAGTCCCAAATGTCTGTAGACAGGAAGGTGACCTGTGAGGTAGACGAGGGCTCCTCAAATACTAGAATGCTGCCCAAGAACCAGCTGGAAGACTTGCTGAAATACGGGCTTCTGAGCTCTACCTGTAGAAAAGCGGACTCAGCAGCTGAAAAAGTTAAGATGGTGAGTGCAATTTATCATGATGATAAGCCCAGCACCTTATCCCTCTCTGGTCCAGACCCTTTAATATGTGACTCTGCTATCCCTCTCACCAATCAGCCTCTAGCTCCCTCCTTTTTTACGTTAGTCTGAACTTGCAGCTGAACTTGGCCGATAAACTGCAATAAAACATGGCGTTCCAGTGTGTTTCTGCTAACTCTCTTCCATCCTTACGGATCCCCGGTGGTGCAGTTCATAACATCATTGGGTTGTTAACTGAAAGGGCAGAGGTTCTAATCTACCAGGCCCCCGGTGGGAGAAAGTTGGGCAGTTTCCTCCCGTAAGGATGTATAGCCGTGGAAATCGAATGAAAGGTCACCGTGCATCTCAACCAACTGAACAGCAGTGGGGCTCACACCTCCGTTATGACCTCCAGGCCACACCCGGCACAATCTACTGAGGGGTGAGAGCCACGTGGAGCAGAGTTGAGTCATTCTGGCCAGCACCATCCTGGATTAGTCAATAGTAACCTGATTCTACACATGAGAAAGCTCAGCCAAGACCCGCAGAGCCACCAGCGCAGCTCAGCTCCCCTGGAATACACAGCGTCGAAGCCACTGAGTCTTCATATGGTAGTGCCCACAGCCATACCTACTCAGCACAGTATCTATCTGCTATGGTTAAAGAATAGCAAAGCTTGCCAGACTCCACACACTCACTGCAGTGCTTGGCCGTATTTTCAATCACAGCCGCCTAAAATTCTCTGTGATACTGGAATGCTTGCATCTACTAACAATCTTTACTGGGCACCACTTTTCACTGTCTTATATAGTTAGTTAGCTTTGGGATATAATTTCACGCAAAGATTTCCTGCTAACTCAAAAGTTTATAGGTGACTGCTTGTTTCCGAGGCATGGATGAGGGGAAAGAAATGGCCAAGAGATGAGTGTGGGGAGGAGATGGTCAGGGACTCGAGGTACCGCCTTATCTGCCACCTGGATGGACATGCAGAGGCACCTCCTGAGTGGGTCAGAAGACATGGTCCCCCTCAAAGCCAGCATCACAGGAATCCCCAAGAAAAGAGCCAAAGAGTCTCAATTGCAGGTGGAAGCCCCCTTGCAGATGTTTTTTCCCAAAATCACTGCCAAGGACATACTGCCACCTCTTTGCTGCCTCCCACCTTGAGCCTGCATTTCATGCCCACAATAGTCACATAATAAATACCCCAGCAGATGTCTCTATTAATAAGTTATAACTCCCCAAAGAGCGGGATGAGGGAAGTGCTGTCGGTGCGTGGAGGCTCTGAAGCATTAAATAGCAGCAGAGTGCAGAAAATGAATCCTTTTTCTGGCCTTGCTGCTTCTCGGCCCTCCCCTCATTCCCCAGGACGCCAGCCTCGGAAGGTGTCAGCAGGGAGTCGCCGCGCAGCTCGGTGAATGAAGTTTTAATGGATCCAGAAGGAAAGGCAGAGGAAGGGTAGGGAGAGGACAGGCGCTCTGCTTAACAGTCTACATGTGCCCAGCTGGTGGCAAGGCCTTTTTGTGGGATGTTCTTCTCTCAAACAGATTAAAAGGGTACAGAAGGGATCAGAGGGCTTCCCCACACCCCTCTGGCGCACCAAGGGAAACTCGGGTTCCTGCTGAGTTTTTCAGTCAGGCTAAATTCCGTTCAGTTCTTCTAAAATACCATGGTCTGTCTCAACTCTCGCCTTTGTACATGCTATTCCCTGATCCCCTTGATAGCAGATTTCCCTGATGCAAGATGTCTTTTGACTTCTTGACTCTTTAAAGAGCTCAAGAGCAAGGATGCCAGATTAAAGACTAAGGTGCACCTGAGTCAAGTCTTAGTGATTCCAATTGCTTCCTACACATCTGAAAGCTGGGTAATGAATAAGGAAGACTGATGCAGAACGAGTGCCTTTCAAGTGTGGGGCTGGAGAGAGTATTGACTATCCCATGGCGGGCCAAAACAACAAGGACATTTGCCTTGGAGGAAGTACAACCAGAGTGCTTGTCAGCGGCATAGATGATAAAACTCTGCCTTCCATACTTTGGACATGTTGTCAATAGAGGCCAGTCCTTGGGAAAAGACACCATGCTGCCAAAGCTAGAGAGGGTCTGAGAAAGAGAGGATGACCCTCAATGAGACGGACTGTCACGGGGATTGCCACCAGGGGCTTGGGCGTGGCAGAGGTCACGGGGTGGCACCGGACAGGGCAAGGTTCAGATCTGGTGTTCATAGGGTCGCTGAGAGTTTGCTGTTGACTCAAAGACACCTAGCAACAAACATCAAATTCAGTCCCGTCCTAGAGGAGATCTGGAGGCTGTCTGACTGCTAACTGAAAGCTCAGTAGTTCAAATCCACCAGCTGTTCTCGGGAGAAGGATGAGGCCATCTGGTCTTGAAATGATTTACAGCTTTGGAAACTCTGTGGAGGCACTTCAGGAGTCAGAATCTCCTCACTGACCGTGGGGCTGAGGTTAACATTTTATTTGTCCTCTGGCCCTTCTCAGTTTCTTCCCCATTTTGACTCCTTCTTCATTTGGTCTCAGTGGACATGTCACTTCTTCCAGGAAGCCCTCCCAGGGATGCACTCAGCTCTGGACAAGATGCCTGTGTTTGTGTCCTCACTGCTCACTGAAACTCTACCACTGAAGCTCTGAACACACTGGAGTGACACTGGGTGACGGGCTGCTTATCTGTCAACAGATCGCCCTCAACACACCCTCCTTCGGCTTCCTCCGCCTCATCCTTGGACTTTACCTGTATCCCTGGTACTTGGTACAGGGCTTCATACAGAGTAGACCCTTGGGCAGCATTTGTTAATACCAGAAGGAAAAGATGTAAAGCAAGAAGGGAGGGGAAGAGGAAGGGCAGGAAGATGGACACCCAGTGCACAGGCCCTCGGCATTCAGGAAGCCCCCAGGTCACGGGACTTGCTGGATTCTTGTGAAGTTCTCAGTTTGCATCCGACAATAAGCCAGCATCTCTCTCTGATGTGTCACAATAACTTTGATGACAACAGTTATCAAAAGCGAACCCTCCTTGGCCAGGATCTCACCAGCCAACAGCGGTGATTACAGAGCACGCAAATGCTGAACTAGCAGTCGGCTGGTTCAAGGCTCACACTTGACAGTGGGAGCGACTGAGGCAGGGAGGAGGATTCCCCCAGGTCACACAGTGACGTGTTTATCTGTGGGAGCTTTGAGAGGAGTTGGGGGCTGAAGATGCAGTCATCAGGACGCCAGAGAAGCTGGACAAATGATGAAAATGCCACATATATGCACATATGACATGGCAAGGCTGTGGTGCACACCCGCGCTTGATTCTGCAGGGCACTTGACAGTGTACAGAGCTGTCCTGGGTGTCCCACAAGCACCCTACGAGGGAGGAGGGGCAAGGGTTACCAAGTTCACTTTACAAACGAGAGAGCCAGGGCTTGAAGGTGTGAAGGCAACGCCAGGGCCACACCGACAGCAAGGACGAGGGCAGACTCAGAGCTGAGTCTCCTGACCCCAGATTCCCACCTGTGGCCCCGTGACAACTTCTCGTAGGAGAGGAGTGTCAGTGACCTTCCCCAGGTCAGTAGTGCGCATGTAATGGGAAGAGTGGTCTGCTCTGAGGTTTGGCTGTTCATGTCCTGCGCCCAGCATCCAATCTGTCACGCGTATTTAGGAAATGAATCCAATTTAGAACACCAAAGCAGGGAGCAAAGATGGGCCCCCAGCGGACGGCGTTTCACAGGGACATCAGCGTGACCTCTGATGAGGTGACAAGGACAGCGTGCACAGCTCAGAAGATCAGAGAAGTCCTGTCCTCGCCCCCCTCGTCCTTCATGGTGCTGGCATCTGCTTTATCTCAGCACAGTGTTCCCTGGCAGCATGTTGCACAGACAAGGCCACAGAGAAGCCAATCAACTTGTTGGCCCCAAACTACTAGCCGGAGCTGAAGTTTGGACCGTCCTGAAGGATACTTTTAATCCTTATATCGGGGCTGTTTTGTTAAGTTTGTTTGGTTTTTTTAATTTCATTTTTTTTCCCCTCAAGATGGGCATGCATTTTATAACAACACATGATTTTTCTTTTATCTTTTTTTTTTACATACACAAATTCAGAAATTCTTTTTAACCAGATCTCATCAGGGACAAGCTGGCTAGATCAGAAAAGAGAAATAATGGAGCATGCAGAAAAAGAAAGGTGGCAGATAATACTCACTGGTCTTTATCACTGAAGGAAAGCAAAGAACGGGGGGAGAGAGAGAGAAATGGAGAGAGTTAGGAAAGAAATGTTCTAATGACACCAATGTCATTTGCACAAAACAATCACAAAGTCTGAATTACAAGGGGCTACTCAATGTTGTGTTTTCATTTGTTATAGCTAATTTCAGGAAACCCTTCTCCCTGCCTCAGTTTCTTCACCTGTCAGGTGGGAGCCTTGAATCAGCTGACTGCTAGTTTAGCATTTACAGGCTCTGCCATCACTACCGCTGACCAGTAAGGTCCCGGCCAGGGTGAATGAGGCTGTAATCAAACAAGTTATGAGACAGATGCCACTAGGGAGGTACACGCTCCTGAGAACAATCAGTCATTCAAAGTGAACATGGCAGCATTTGCTCAAAGTTTAAAAGGCAGCATGGATTGGGGAAGAAGGAAGAATGGAAAGGGGAATCACAGGGAGGAAATGGGAAGAGTGAGGTCACAGTGTGGGGATTGTAATTGATAGCAAACCAAACACGCAGAAGCTATGGGATAGAAAACGGATCTGTTCTGCAAACTTCCATTCAATATGTACGAATTGTTGAATGGACAGCTGCTCTGTAAATCTTTACCTGATTAACAGTTAAAAGGTTAAAAGAAAGAAATAAAGAAAATGATGTATTGCACTGGGCAACCTGTGACCACAGACCTCTCCAAACTGTTAAAAAGCAAGGCTGTCACTAAAAAGGAGTGGATGGATGGATGAATGAATGAATGAATGAATGAATACAATGAGATGTTTCAATGGGAGATAATCAGATTCACAGCTTGATTAAACTGACTAGTTGAATATGTCCATTAAGTCAGTTGATCCTTCGGGTATTTTAATAAGGTTGTTTTATTTTCATTTTTTTGGGTTGCTAGGGAGGAGTCGTTCGATAGTAACAGGACCACCATCATTCTTGGGTCCCAGTGGTTCAACCCTGGGGACAGGACCATATGCAGGGAGAGAGAGCGACAAACCTTGGACAGGAACTGGACCATCTGAGAGCAGAGTTCTTGCTTCCCAAATGGGTTCTGAGTTCTTCTACGCCAGAAAGGAGACCAGCGTCTTCATTTACAAGGTGTGCAAACAGGGGCAGCCTGTGTCATCGCTTGCTGCCTCAGTTTCCACCTCTCATCCCTGGTGCTCCCTGGCTCGTCGATGTGAAAGTTATTTAAAAAGACCAACAGTCTGAGATGAGTAATCCCCCCCCCCCCCGCAGATTCCCAACCCAAAGAGGAGAGCCACGACCTTAACTTGTAAACCCGCAATAGGATGGACTCATTTCCTTCATTCCCTCTTTCTGGCCCCCAACAAAATGATTAGGTTCAAGGAGATTGAAGGAGGAAGACTGAAAATCACAGAAGCAGCAAGTGTGTCTGGCTAGCCAGCAGTTAATTAAGAGCAGATTTCTTCATTTACTGGAGAAAGACATTAGAAGTGTCCACATTATCACATCACCACTGCAGCACGTGTGATGACTATAATTTGTCCATTAGCATTTATTGGGGAAATCATTTTAATATCTGAAGAAGATGCAGCTGTAAGCAAGCCAGGCTCACTGCATTCAGAATACCAAGACGTTTCATAGGCGCCCAGGAGCACTTTGACGAGACAGAGTCCAGACTGCTGGAATAATTCTAATTTCATTCTAAAGCAAATTGTTTGGCTTCATAGCGACGAAAGTAAACTCTGATGGATGGGATTTTAATTAACTGACATTTCTTAAATAAAATAAATATTCTCCCTATCCACCCTTCAGGCAACTGTTTATCTTCCAGAGACATACTTTTCAGCTGATGGAATATTTTCTGCAAAATAAATTTGGCTCTGGGAGGACGTCACGGGAAGGGCTTTGGGAGCTAGAAGTCTGTTCTTAAAAAGTAAACTGACAAGCATAAAATAAGTGTCTTCGAAACTGTAAAATTCATGAGTTAATAGGGAGTCTGAGGGGGGGAAAGAGCTTAATATTAATTATCTAATAAAGAAAAATTTGCTTGTGTTTTACTGACTACAAGCAACGGCACCAGACTGTGTGGGTCATACTAAATTATGAATCACATTGAGATCATTAGAAATTTTAGAACACTTAATTGTGCTCAAGAGAAAGCGGTCCGTAAAGCAGGAAGCAGTGGTTTGATCGGAACAAGGGTGTACTGCATGGTTTAATATCAGAAAAGGTGGGTGTTGAGGTTGTATCCTTTCAGCACACCCACTCGATCTGTATGCAGAGCACATAACTTGAGAAGCCAGACTCTCCGAAGAAGAACGTGGCATCGAGATTGAAGGAAGACTCTTCAACAACCTTGCTATGCTGGTGACTTGACTTTGGTCGCAGGAAGTGAAGAGGACTGGAGGCACTTGGTGAAGTTCAAGGATGAGAGTCTTCAGTAGGGGTTGTGTTGTGCTGTGCTGTCGTGTACTGTTGTGTCAGAAACCACCCACGGCTGACCCTCTGGTGGGTTTTCAGAGGCAGCTAATCACATGGGAAGAGACTGCCCATCGTTCTCTCATGGAGCAGCGGGTGGATTTGAACCGCGTGTCTTCGGGATTACAGTGCAGCTTCTTGCCACTAGGCCACCAGAGTTGCCTCAATATAAGGAAGAGAAAACTTCTCACAATGGGACCCATAAGCAACATCATGATTAATGTGAGAAAAGACTGAAGCTTCCAAGGAATTAATTTTATTTGGATTCACAAGCAACTCTGTGAAAGCAGCAGTGGAGAAATCAAATGACAGAACTGCATTAGGCAAATCTGCTGCCAAGGAGGATCTCTCCAAAGTGTTAAAGAGCAAGGGTGTCACTTTAAAGACTAAGGTGTGCCTGCCTCCAGCTATGATATTTCATCTGCATGTGAAAGCCAAGCAATGAATAAAGAAGCCCAAATGAGAACTGATGTCTTTGAATCATGGTGTTGGGAGGACAGAACTGCTGGAATCTACTCTGGAGTGCCAAAAAAACCCAAAACTGTCTTGGAGGTGATGCAACCAGAGTGTTCCTGAGAGGCAAGAACGTGAGACTGTGTCTCCCGTATTCTGTCCATGTTATCATGATGGGAAAGTCCTTGGAGAACAACAACATAATGGCAATTAGAGGGTCAACAAAAGAAATGAAGACCTTCACTGAGATGGATTTACACAGTGACCACAGGACAGGATTTGCTGCTCTTGTTCACGGGGTCACCACAGTGGAGACATGGAAACTAACAACAACAATAGATGAGGAGAGACTGGAGCCTTTAGGAAATAAAAGTGAAACTCTGTAAACCTACACTTGGGAAGAATTCTAGATGGACATAATAAACAGAAAATGAACTTTTTGAGGGAGGGGGCAAAAGTAAAGAGAAAAACCAACACAGTGCACATGAATGAAATACTAGGTAAACAAATTACTGTATGCAAGCCAATTAAAAAAAAAAAGGAAAATGAACCTTTAATTTGAAGACTACAGGCAGATTCTATATTCAGAAAAGCTCCTGACCACAACCATTGGCCAACAGTCACGTTTGGACCTTAGATTTGCTCACAAAAATGACCATATCTTTAACTGCTTCTCCCAGAATTTGAACTCTGAAACCGGCCCCCAAATACTAACCTACATAAAGTCAAATGAAAAGACTCTGAGTGTCATTTAACCAGGGATGTCATCCAGGATAGGGTGGTAACAGAAGTGAGAAAAGCAGGTGAGAGCATGGGAGACGTTCTAGGGCGTGGTGAAGACCTTGGAGAACTGAAGGCTCTCGCCTCCCTAGAACTGGCGGCACAGCTTAATCCCGGCTCAGGGATGCCAGGTCTTCCAATGGCTCAAAGAAAAGCCAGAAGTTTGGATTTTTATGGGAGACCTCTCAATTGTTCAATCGTTAAGACTAAAATTTAAAATAAAAAAACCCATTTCTTCAAGTCACAGCCAGCCTGTGGCCTACCAACTTGCAACTATTCCAACGCTCTTATTTGACTAATGAGGAAACTGAGGCCCAGCGAGGGTGCAGGAGATTCCCCTGGGGCGCACAGTGAATGAACACCATGCAGAGCGTGAGCCCCTCTGTGCTGACCCCAGGCCAGTGCTCCCACTTGTCCTGTCGGTAGGTGCTGTCGAGTGGACCAGGCCTCACCGTGACTCTATGAGTAACAGATCTGACCCTGTCCTGTCCTGTGCCAGCCTCACTCTGTGATCCACCAAGCCTCGTGATCTGAGTCACGGTATCAATCCACCTCACTGAAGGGCTAACCCTCTCTACCTTTCCAAGCATGATGTCCTTCTCCAAGGACTGGCCTCTCTTAACAACATGCCCAAAGGATGTTTCACCCTCCTTGCCTCTAACCAGCACGCTGGTCTCACTTCCTCCAAGACTTACTTGTGGTTCTCTCTGCAGTCCTCTGCCTCGGGCACCTCTAATTTGGGGCCTGGAACCCAGCACTTAATCTTTCTATGTCTACTTTAAACTAGTGCAGAGGTTCCCATGAATTCTCACTCGATTTTTCTCCCCTCAACTCCAGGCCAGGAAACACCTTTCTCCCATCAAGTACGGCACAGTCAGGGAATCTCTGCTCCCATACAAGCTGCTCCCAGGAAGCCCCCCCCCACCCCATCCCGAGACTCACTTGGATTGAAGGGGTCGGTCGCTGGGATACATCCAGCGGTTGGAGCTGTTGCTGAGCACGGTGTCCGTCATGGCTGAAGTGCAGCGCTCCTGAAAAACATCAACACAGGGAAGGCGTCACTCAGTCATCCAGCCGCCCCTTATTTCGTGAGCCCCAACTATGTACCCAGCACTGTGGGGGACACAGAAAAGAGGACAAGAGCTTCATCCATTTTCCAGTTAAGGGCGCTCGAGACCTAAGAGGGAAAGTGTTCTGTTGGAAGACAAAGCTCCCTCAGAGAACATCCCTTACCCCCTTAAGCCCAGCTTCTTCCGTTTCAGTGTTGACCCAACTTCTCCTCTTAAGCTCAGGTTTTTCCATTTCAGTGTTGACCCAACTTCCCCGCTTAAGCCCAGGTTCTTCCCATTTCCCTGTTAACCCAAGGCTTCATCGTCAGCAGAGCGAGCTTAGAGCTCTCAATCTGAAGCTATGAAGCTGAGTAGGTGAGAAGCTGGGAGGGGAACATGGAACCTTCCGGACCCATCGCCTCTGGGACGATGTCCAGGTGGGGAAAGTGCAACAGGGGTTCTGGTGGGCCACACGAAGGGAGAAGGCCCTTCGCAGAGAGACTCTTCCATCTGCTCCTGCGCAGTTAAGGTCAGCTTCTCAGACTGAACTACCCATCCTGTTGTTTCCACTTCAAACCCGGAGAGGACAGAGGGCTCCTGTCGCAATGGAAATCTACTGAGAACAGTGAGGTCTCATCACCGCCTGTGCCAAGAGCTAAGCGAGGCTTCCCTGGCACCCCCTGGAGAAGCCCAGGCTTAATGCTCTGCTTGTGTCTCACCATTCTTAATCACAGTTTAATAAGGGGACTGCATTTCCACTTTGCACCCAGTCCTGGGTGTGTATACAGGAGGTGCTCACTAAGCCTGACTTGAAGCCACAAGGCTCAGTGTATATGCTGTGATTAGGTGTTGCTGGGCTGGCGTCACTTGTAATGATTCCACATGCCGCACAAAGAAACCCTGTCCGGTCCTGTGCGATCCCCAGTCTCCATGGTCCTGCAGCCCTTGGGGTCACTTTCCTCTCCTTCGCTGACCCTCTACTTGCCCAAGCACGATGTCCCTCCCCAGGGACACCATGCCCCACGTTTCACCATCTGCACATCTCAGGAATATTCCAGCTGCCGTTCTTCCAGCAGGTGTGCTTGCTGGCTCCTGTGACTGCTTCAGCTGTTGGCCTGCTGTCCTGCGCTGGCTTCTCCGCGTCTCTTAGCCTGCTGTCCTGCGCCACTGGTATTTTAAATACCAACAAGGGCTCCCATGGCGGACAGGTTTCAGTGGGACTTCCAGACCAAGACAGATTAGGTAGAAATCAGGACTGGCCAAGTACTTCTCAAATACCAGGTCCTTAAAACTCAATGAGTGGAGGTGGAATATTGTCTGAAACAGTGTCAGAAGATGGGCCTTCAGACTGGCAGTCACTCAAAGTGAATTAACACCTCCTAAGGACAAATACTGCATAAGACCACTATTGTAACAAGAGAAATTGCCCAGTAAGATGTGGATAAAAGTCCAAGGGAGGAAGGGGAGGTGGGGGGGAGGTGGGAAAACCACAGGGTTGTAGAGTCTGGTGGGCGGAGGGAAGGGGTAAAGGAATTAGGAATGATCTAGTGGGGGCCTGAAAGGAGGGGGTGACAGTAGGCAGAGAACAACAATGACTAAATTTATGGGAATGTGTGGGGATGGCCACAGGAAATACAATGGGAATGAAGACATGTGTGAAACACAATGTATTTGAATGAAACACAATGTGTACAAATTTTGTATGCTTGGAGGGTGGAGGGACAGCGCAGGAGAGGAAGACCATCGATGAGATGGATTGATTCAGTGACTGGGGTAGTAATGGGGGCAGATGTGTCGGAGATGGTGAGATTGGCACAGGATAGGGCAGAGTTAAGGGTTGTTGTACATCGGGTTGCTATGAGTCACAGGGTACTCGACGGCACATAACAACAACAACAACTACAACAACAAAGCAATATAAAAGAAAAAGAAATGGGTTTCTGTGGAGAACTGCGAGCCCCCTGTTTTTCATGCTCTCTGTTCTATATAATTCCCAGCAGTCTGTCTCATTATTAAGAATTATAAAATACTTTTAAAAAGGCAAGCTCTGGTGGCCTAGTGGCAAGAAGCTGCAACTGCAATCTCAGAGATGCACGGTTCGAATCCACCAGATGCTCTGCTGGAAAAGGAAGAACAATCTCCTCCTGTACCAGTCAGATCTGATTTGACGGTACACACAAAAAATAATGACATAAATTAAAAAAAAAACTTTAAAAAAAAGAAAAAGAAATGAAAAAATAAAGCACTATTGGGGGAAAATCTACCTTAATGAGGCAGATGGAGTACAAAGCTCTCAGCCAGTGAACGACTTTGACTTGCCGAAGTGGCAGACCTCCAGATGGAGAAACGCTGTGACATCCACCGGTAACCGGAACATCATGCATGTATGAGGCACTAAACAAATCTGTCTGCAAGTGGCACAGGCAGGTTGTGCCCACTCTCTGCCCTCTTCCACACCCCAGTGCTAACCCGTATACCACCCTGCGTTTCAGAATGCTAAAAAAAAGACCCTGTTTCAACCCCAGGGGAAGCGCATTCCAGAACCTTCCATTCTCTCCCCTTTGCCCTTAGTTCTGCCTGTTTCTCCCCTAGTTCCCCTTTAGCCGTGTTTGCTAAGGAACAGCGTGACTCCATCACTCAGAGTTTCCGGGGTCTCATGCTGGTTGATGTTAACTATGTGGTGTGAGGGGAGGGCCAGAAAAAACAAAGCTCTCAAAGCCCATTTCATTTCCAGAGCTGCGGCAGGTGTCTAAACAGTGCTGGCCCCCGGGGACTGCGGGGGACCACTGCGAGCTGCAGCTGTCTGCTTGGAGCTGAATGCCCCTGCCGCCGCCCTGCCCAGAGCACTGCAGCCCAGGCAGCCCCGCTGCAGCAGAGCCTGCGGCCGCCGGCACAAATAACACCCGGTCAGCTCTGCCTCATTGTATGTGCTCACACCTATCCTTCCTCCCCACCAAGTGCAAGGCACGGCCACTCAATTATGGGTCTGGAAAAAACCCAGTCCAACTCTTGGTGAAGTGGGAGATCCACTTCACAAAGAGGCCTGAAAACCGAGGGACCCAGTCTGAAAACTGGCTTGGTTTGGCCCACGCAGTGTGTTTTGGTGGGTTTTTTCTAACAACAGCATCAAGCCAATAACTGAAAGTCAGGGGATTTCATTCAAATTACAGATTGCCAGCTTCTTTTGAAAACTGGAAGAATGGGAAAAAAGTATTTATAGAATATCCACAATGCCAAAAACTATTAAATACTAAAAATACAGCCTTTATCCAATGCATACCAAACCCCCCACCGCTCAGCTGATTCTGACTCCAGAGGCCTTCCAGAGCCAAGCGGAACTGACCCCAGGGCTTCCTGAGGCGGGAGCCTGAGGGGAGCTCACTGCCACATCCACCTCCTGTGAGGCAGCTGGTGAGTTTAACCCTAAGGTCATCAGCCAGGCTCTTCGACAGGGAGCTCCTGGAAATAGTGAAAAAACAACAACAGCAAAAATAAGGAGGCTTTTCTTGTCTTCATAGTGGTCAGGGAGGAGAGACCATAAACATACATGTTGAATGAAAAATGACCAGTGCTGGGGGCCATGGAGAAAAACAAAGCAGACTGGGAACTGGAGAGGAAGTCGGATTGTAAACAGGTGATCTGAGAGAGTTATGCTCGAAAGAGGATGTCTGAGCGAAGGCTAAAAGGGGGTGAGGGAAGAGCCATGTGGGTGCATGTGTTCCAGATGGTAGGGAAAGCGTGTGCAAAGGCCCTGGGGTGCCATGCGTTTGGTGAATTGGAAAAACCACCTTGAAGGCTGAGTGGCTAGAGGGGAGTGAGCAAGGTGGGAGGGGAGCAGGAGCTGAGATCAGGACAGGGGTGGTGGTGCTGGAGCATGAAGACCATGTGTTTGCATCCGCTAAGAGTGTGTGGGGGTATCAAGCTCATACCCCACCCCCAACCCTCTGGCCAGTATGTCCACCTGGAACCTCAGAACGTGGCTTTATTTGCAAACAGGCCGATGTAACTCAGATCAGGATTGAGACGAGATCCTGCTGGATTACACCCATCGCTGTGCGGTCAACAGCAATTCACAGTGATCTGCAGGCCGGGACAGAACAGAACCGCCTGGGAGGGTTTCCAAGGTCGTACATCTTAACGGAAGCCAAACTCCTCATCCTTCTCCCATAGTTTCATTTGAACTACTAACCTCTGGGGTAGCAGTTGGTTGCTTAACACCTGTGCCACTAGGGCTTCTTGACTAGGGCACGAGGGCAAGTCCCCAGTCCAGCGAGACCACACTTGTGAGAGGCCAGGAACAACACATGGAGACGTGGAGAGGCCACAGCAGGTGAAGGCAGAGACTGGAGGGTTGAGAGCACAGGCTGAGGAACGTGGTGAGTGAGTAACCGCTAGGAGCTGCGAGGACACAGGACAGACTCTCCCTCCCCACCCTGAGTAGAAGTCAACACGCCAACACTTCATTACAGGTTTCTGGTCTCCAGAACACGGCGAGAATAACACTCATTTGAAGCCCCTCGGTTTGTGCTGTTATTGCAGCCCCAGAGAACTCAGATTCCGACTCAGAGAGAAGGTTTCTGAAAAGGGCGTGAGCTGAATATGGTACCATCTCTGACGCACATCTGTCCTGCTTCGACTGTTGGCCAATCACGTTAAGGTTTCTCCAGTGAGCTCTGGTGATCAATAGATTAAGTGCTGGGCTGACAACGGAAAGGTTGATGGTTCCAATCTCAATGGGAGAGAGAAGGGGTAGCCCGCCTGTGTAAAGATTTTGTCTCTGAACCCCTGTGGGGCAGTTCTGTTCTGTGATACAGGGTGACTGTGAGCCAGAACTGACCGGGTGGAAGTGGCCTGGCAGCAGGTAGGGCCCCTGCCCACCACTGCAGGGCGTTGTGGACATCAAAGAGAAAGAAGGCAGTCTCCTGTGCTGCCTACTCCACTTTGGCAGAGTTGATGCGCCTGCCTGC